CACTTTATCAACATGTAATGTCTTTTTGTTGTCTTTTGTAAAAATTTTTTATTTAACATCTGTTTTGTCTGATATAATAGCATATCCAAACTCAGGCTCTCTTTTGTTTACTATTCACATGAATGTCTTTTTATTCTTTTTATTTCAACCTATTTGAGTATTGTTGGATTAAATATGAGTGTCTTGAAAACAGCCTATGTTTGCATCATTTCCAAAATTAAATTCTGCCAATGTATGCTTTTTGATTGGAGAGCTTAATTCATCTTTTGTGAATTATTTACTGATAAAGACTTATTTATGCCATTTTGCCATTTGTTTTCTATGTCATATACTTTTTGTTCCTCAGTCTCTCCATTACAGCCTATTTTTGTGTTAACTGATTTTTTATTGCATATCATTTTAATTCCTTTCTCACTCTCTCTCAGTGTATGCTTTTATTAATGCTTACCGTGGAAATGACATTTGATGTCTTAAATTTTTCAAAAATTAGTTTAAATTAATGCCTATTTACTTTCAGAAATATGCAAAATCTCTGTTTTTGTACAGCTTCACATCTCATTATTTAGGTTATTTTCACAAATTACATCTTTATGCATGTATACTCAAAAACATAGCCATTATTTGCATATTTGTTTAAATGATATCATGAAAAAAGGAATTATAAAAAATGGAATTTATATTTGCTATGTAGCTACCTTAAACAGTTTATTTATTTCCTCATAAGGTTTAAATTTACTGCCTAATGTCATTTCATTTCAGCTAAATGAAATTCATTGAGCTTTTTGTAAGATAGATCTCCTAGCATAAAACTATCAGCTTTTGTATATCTGGGAAGTCTTAGTTTCTCCTTCATTTGTAAAACTTCCAAGTATTTGGCAGTGCCTGTGGCTCAAGGAGTAGGGTGCCGGCCCCATATATTAGAGGTGGTGGGTTCAAAACCTGGCCCTGGCCAAAAGACTGCAAACAAAACAAAACAAACAAAAAAACTTCCAAGTATTAAGAGGGGACGAATGTTTTTGTTACATGAATATCTTGTAGGATGCTTAGATTGGGGTTTTTAGTGTGTCTATCACTTGAATAGTGTTCATTGTACCTAACAGGTAGGTTTTCTTTTTTTGAGACAGAGTATCACTATGTGCCCTCAATAGAGTGCTGTGGCAGCAACCTCTCCTACTCTCCCCTTGGCTCCCTTCTTGATTTTCAATGACCTTTGCATCTCTTTGTTCTCCTTGTGACCACTGATTAGTTCTTCATTGTTAGTGAGTACATGTGGGTTTGTTTCTTTATTCCTTAGATACTTCACTTAGGATAATGGTCTCTAATTCCATCCAAGTTGCTGCAGAAGACATTACTTTCATTCCCTTTTATGGCTTAGTACTCTGTGGTGTCTGTGTGATTAGCAATATTGAACATTTTTTTGTCTTTGTTAGCCATTTGTCTATCTTTTGAAAAACTTATGTTTATGTCTTTTACCCATTTCTTAGTGGGGTTGTTTGTTTTCTTCTTGCTGATTTGAGTTTTTCTTTGTAGTTTTGGGATATTAGCCCTTTATCAAATGTATAATTTGCCAATATTTTCTTCCACTCTGGAGGCCACTTACTCTGTTGATTATTTCCTTTCCTGTGCACAAACTTTTTAAATTTAATCATGTTTAGTTTATTTATTTTTGTTGTTGCTATATTTGCCTTTGAGGTCTTTATGTATCAATTCTTTGTCTAGGGCAATGTCTAGAAGAGTTTTCCCCATGTTTTATTCTATATTTTTTTATGGTGTCACATCATTATTCTTTTTTTTTTTTTTGCAGTTTTTGGCGGGGGCTGGGTTTGAACTTGCCACCTCCAGTATATGGGGCCAGTGCCCTACCCCTTTGAGCCACAGGCACTGCCCATAATTATTTTATCTATCTTGAATTAACTTTTGTATATGGCAAGAAACAGAGGTGCTGTTTCATTCTTCTGTATTTGGGTATCCAGTTTTTCTAGTACCACTTATTGAATAAGGCTTCCTTTCTCCAGTGTATGTTATTGTTTGCTTTGTGGAAGACTAGTTGCTTGTAAGTAGATGGTTTTATTTCTGAGTTATCCGTTCTGTTCAATTGGTCTAAGTCTGTGCTTTAATACCAGTACTATGCTGCTTTGTTACTATGGCCTTGAAGTATAGTTTGAAGTCAGGTGATGTGATACCTCCAGAATTGTTCTTCTTGCTCAAGATTGCTTTGGTTATTCAGGCTCCTTTTTTATTCCAAATGAAGCTTAGGATTAGGCAAGGATGTCTGCTCTTACCACTGGTATTCTATATTGTACTGGAAGTTCTAGCCAGCAAAATGAAATAAAAGAGAAATAAAATAAATTTTGATTTTGAAAGGAAGAAGTAAAACTGTACAGAAAAACAACAACATAGTCCATCCAGTATGTAGACAATCTTAAGGGGTCCAAAAAACCTGTTGGAACTAAGAAATTAGTAGAATGTGTTCATAGAATATAAGACCCATATACAAAAAGTTATTTATATTTCCATATGTTAGCAAGGAACAGTAGAAAGTAAAATTAAGAAAATCATTCCATTCACAATAGCAGGGAAACACTTTAGAAATATATTTCACAAAAGAAATGCAAGACTTCAAAACTGAAACTATAAGACATCATTGATGGAAATTAAAGAATGTCTAATAAATGGAGAGACATTCCACATTCATGGATTTTATGATAACATTTCCTAGATGGTATTTCTTCCCAGATTGATCAATAGTATTAATACAATTCCCATCCAAATTCTATAGGCTTTTTTGTTTTCAGTAAATTACAAGCTGATGCTAAAATTTAGAGGGAAATTCAAGAGATCCAGAACAGCCAAAACAATCTTACAAGAGGACATATACTTTCCAATTCAAAACTTACGACAATGCTAAAGTAATCAAAATAGTGTGGTACTGGCCTAAGATACAAATATCAACCAAGGGAATAGAATTTATATTCCATTAATAAATTCTTACACTTATGGTCAATTCATTTTTTAATAAATGTGCAAAGGTAGTTCAGTGTTACTATTTTCAATAAATTGTGCCAGGACAAATTGTGTTGCAAATGTAGAGGTAAAAAATAATTAAACTAGAAGACACTTCATTAAACATGAAGAAAAAATCTTCATGATTTTCGGTTTAGTAGAGTTTTTAGATATGAGACAAAAAACACTATCCATACAATAAAAATATTTGAAAAGCTGAAATCCATCAATATTCAAAACTTTTATACTTAAAGGGACACCAGTAAGACACTATTTTTTTTTTAATTTTTTGAGACGGAGCCTCAAGCTATCCCCCTGGGTAGAGTGCCATGGCATCATGCTCACAGCAACCTCCAACTCCTGGGCTCAAGCGAGTCTCCTGCCTCAGCCTCCCAAGTAGCTGGGACTACAGGTGCCCGCCACAACGCCTGGCCATTTTTTGGTTGCAGCCATCATTGTTGTTTGGCGGGCCCGGGCTGGGGATTTGAACCTGTCACCTTAGGTGTATGGGGCTGGCGCCTTAGCCTCTTGAGCCACAGGCGCCGAGCCACCAGTAAGACACTATTAACAGCTTTTGTTCAAAAAAGTGTTTATAAAATGAAGAATACGTAGATAAAATGTAGTATCTACCTAAAGTGGAATGAAATTCACCAATCAAAAAGATCAAATGCTGAGATATGCTACAACCCAGATGCATCTCAAAAACATTACTGTAAATTAAAAAATCCAGATACAAGATGATTTTACTTATAAGACATGTCTAGAAATATCAAATCTATAGAGGCAGTAGATATATTAGTAGATGCCTGTCTTGGGTGTGGTAATAGGTTAACTGTAAACAGGCAGATAGATCTTTTGCCTGTTATATATATAATGGAAATATTCTAACACTTGCCTGTGGTAATTATTTCAGAACACAAATTTACTAAAAGTGATAAATAAAATTAATTAAAACTAGTGACTATGATATGTAAATAATGACTAAACAGAGCTGTTCTTTTAAATGCGAGAAATTTATGCTCAAATATGCATGGCCTTTGAAATATCCATTTAACTTACTAATTATATTTCAACCTTATTTAGTAAAATATAATTACGTTTTGCTCTTTACATAAATAATGTGGTCCCAGGAAGAATCAGAGTTAGACACACACATGTATACGCACAGTCAATGTGCTCCTTCTTTCTCAATTTTAGATAAAGCTAAAATATAAAATCAGCCTAAAGTATGAAAAATTTATAGAACGCCTTTATTTTCCCTGATTGTAATTTCATCTTTATTTTATTTGTGAGACTCTTAAACTTTAGTCCCAGGGAATATACTTAATCTTTTTTGTTTTTTGAGACAGTGTCTCAGTCTATTGCCCCGTCTAGAGTGCCATGGCTTTAGCCTAGCTCATAGCAACCTCAAACACCTGGGTTTAAGCAATTCTTATGCCTCAGCCTCCCAAGTAGCTTGGACTGTATAGGCACCCATTATAGTGCTTGGCTAATTTTTCTTATTTTTAGTAGAGATGAGGTCTTATTTGTGTTCTTGTTGGAATCAAACTCCTCTCACCTCAGCCTCCCAGAGTGCTAGAATTATAGGCATGAGCTACCACTCTTGGCCTGAACTGAATCTTTCATTTAAGCTAGGAGTTCAAGGTTCCTTATTTATAAAGTAAAGATAGTAGTAGCTAATTTATAGAGGTGCTATGAGGATTCAACATAATGTACATAAAGCTATTTGTACATAATAGGTGTCTGATAAGTAGTAACTCTTCTAAATCTGGGGGTGGCTTATATGAAATTTATCTTGGATTTTATGTTGAGGCTTTATTCTTTCCCCCAGCCTGTGAATATAATTTTGGTAAAGATACACACACAGAATAACAAGGCTGACCACCTCAAGTGGAGGGAGGACTGGTTTTATTTGTCTTTCACAATTTGAGTGTAAGTGTGCAAGGCTGGAAAGGAATAGTTTGTGTTTAGGGAACTGGGGAACCTCAGCTACTCACATTGTTTACTGCAGTTTAGGTAGATGCTCCGAAATTGTTTGCTACAGAGTTTTTTCAACTGAAAGTCATCAAAGAATATGCTGACAATCATTGCAAAGTTGTAATTGGGAAGCATCATTAATAAATGTTCAACAAAAATTCTGGGGGAAGAAGGAAACTGCTCCCCTGTGATTTAAAAGATGATAGATTAGCTTCAATTATATGTGATGAATCTCACCCAAACAACAAAATTCCCCCAAATGATTAGATCAAGCTCAGAGAAACACCAATCTAGCAGATGATTCTTGAGGAAACACTAGTTATTAGTTGCTAAATTTGTTCACTTTGGTAGCTTGTAACATCTATCATAGAGTCAATCATAGAGTTCAAGAGAAGACTTGGTTAACAATGTTTCTCTAGGATATGTCCTCATCCCACTAGGTGTGAGTCTGTTTCTTTTTCCTCACCCACTATTCCCCTTTTCCTCTCTCCCTTCACCTCTATCTTTTGCATACCCACTTAATAACTATTTGCTGATTGCCCAAAGCATAGGTTTTCAGAGTCCTGGAAATTAAGTGCTTAACAATTAATGTTTTTAACCCTCAGGCCCTTTCATCTTCATTTATTTAATGCATTTCCTGGGGAAAGGGAAAGTTGGGTGCAGTTCTTACCATAGTATGTTATTATGGCTTGAATGATAATACTGAAAACAGCTGAAAAGTAGTTAAAGAGAGTGAGCTTGATGTAGGCAGCAGTACTACTAGAAAACAGGAAGCTTCCAAGATAGACGAAAGGAATAGTGCACCATCCATACACCATAAAGATCAATATTGTGTCCAGAAAGTGGTAATCCACAACAAATGCTTCCACTCCGCAATAAAAAAATACTCCCTAGGGCACAGAGTATAGAGGAAAAAAAGGATACTATACAAGAAGAAATCAAACCAGGACAGTTACAAAACATCAAGCACAGCCTTAATTGCAGCATGAGATTATTTGTTACTTAAATTATTTTATTCCCTTAAAAAATAAAACAACAAAACCCTCAGCTCGTGAGCCTGAAGTGAGCTACTTTTTCCTCAGCAGAGGACATTGTTATAAGCAAAATGACTTTCTTTTGCTTTTCTATATTTTCTCTTTGACCTGTTTTATTTTTTAATTTTTCTCCCCTGATTGAAGTCAGAGTAATTATGTCTGTATTAAGTCCAACTTTGAATTCTCTAGAAAAGAATGTAACCTAGGGAGTAGGCTATTTCTTTAAAGATTTTCTTTGTGTCTGATGCATCACTTCCCCACTTTTAGACTGGCTCCTGACTCTCCTCGAGCTTGCACTCATCTCAGTAACATGAGGCCTTCCTTGTCTAATTATTCTTTATTCCACTTGAGAATCTAACCATGAAGCACAAATTTAGAGTGGGTTAGACTAGTGAGAAGGGAATTTCTAGAACTGTTAAAGAAGATCATTTCCCAGAAATTGGTAATTGGTTGGTAATTATAGTTTATTCAGAGATAGTGAAATTCTCTCTTTTGAGCAATGACAGAATTATTTAGCAAGATGACTAATAAATGAAAGCAGGGGTTAAAATAAGAATAGTCTCCATTAGAATCCTATGAAGTTATTGGAAATAGATTACATTCAAACAATAGTGTTCAAAGCAAGTACATAAAGAAAGTGAGCAGTCATAGGTGAAAGATCCCAATAGGTGTAAACCATACTTGATTCTTTCTACTCCAACTAGGAAGACTGAAATTAAAAGAATAAATACAATCAGAAAGAAATTGTGGATAACCTGGAAGCACCTTTGTTGCAAGGCTTATACAGTTTAGGAATGCCCGAAACTAAAACCTATTTCAAAGAAAATGTAAATCTCTAGTTGGATAAATAAAACGACATATTCTGTTGTCAGATAGGGCACATAACTTAACATGGTAAAAAGGTAAATTTTCCCAAATTAACCTAAATGAAAATAGTTACAGGACTTTTTTTGAAATTAGACGAGCTGATTCTAATATTTACATGTAAACAAACTATCAAGATAAACAGGATATTTTGCAGATTAATGAGGAATTTGAAAACTGTCAATCTATAAAAATAATTAAATGTAGTATAAAACTACCATAATTAAATGGTGCCTTATAGACACGCCATTGTAACAGAACAATTAGTTGAATAGGAATCTCTCATGTGCAACATAAGGAAAATGAATCTTCGTGAAATTTTAGCTAACACTTACCAGTAGTAAGCAGCAGAAAATGAAGAAGTAGATGAGATCGTACAACAAAGCAGAGAGCCAGTAAACAAGTAAATAGACCCCACTCACAAACTGGATGTGTTTTGCCTTACTGATTCTTTCAATTGCTGTCTGGAGACAAAAGCCACCGACCACAACAGCCAGGGTAAATGCCAAACTTAATGCTACTTCTAATCCATGTGCAGGTCTACAGAAGACGAAATAAAAGATGAAAATATTGATTTCAGTAGCTATTTTCAAATATGTATGGCTAGATAGCAAGGGGATATCTTAAGGCTCAATTCTAATAAAAGGAAAATCATACATACGCTATCTTAGAACCATAAGGAGGGAGAGGTTGAGGCTTGTTGGAGACTGTAATGGAAGCATTGGGGCCAGAAAGTGACATGAAAAGAATGTTGTCTAACACCGCCAGGGATGTTGCAGCTGAATGGTATGCCTCATTATTGAACAAAATAGTAATTACTGTTTTGTCTTTTTCAACCTCAATGGAAAGTGCAATAATGCAGAAGTCATGACACTTTCTACTTCCCAATATGTAATCTGTTACACTACCTAGAATAAAGAAAGAAGTAGGTCAATGAGTTAATATGTAATATATTACCTACTACTTATGATGGAGAGGAGCAATCAAGTTTTTTTCCTTTCTTGCCATTTACTACTTCCCCTTTCAACTTCCTACAATGCGTCTTTCTAATATTTACCTTTCTCTTCAAGAATTCTCTTCTATCACGGATCCCTACAGTAATCTTGCTATATAGTCTACAATCTGAAAAACACAGTGAAACTCAGATTTTTGCTGTTTTTTTGTCTAATACAAGCATAGTTTGTTCATCTTTTCAAAAAATAATTTTTGTTATTTTGGTCATTTACATTTCCATATCAACTTTAGGATCAGTTTGTCAATTTCTGCAAAAATGTCTGCTGGAATTTAGGGATTGTATTGAATCTACAGATTAATTTTGGAAGAATTGCTACAATGATATTCATACTTATAGAATGTCTGTCCAAGTATCTACAATTTCTCTAATTTCCTTTAGCAATATTTTGTGATTTTTAGTGAACCAGTTTTGCACTTCTTTTCCTAATTTTTTTCCTAGATTTTTAGTTATTTTTGATATCATTGTAAGTTTGGGGAATTTGTGCTTTCTTTCCCTTAGGAATGTGTCCATTCCATCAGAGTAGGATTTTGTTTTTTAAATCCAGTCTGAAAACCTTTCTTTTGATCAGAGCATTTACTCTATATTTAACATAATTATTGATATGCTGGGATTTATATCTGCTGTTTTTTTACTGTTTTCTATATGTACTAAGCCCTTTCTGTTCTTCTGTTTTTCAACTACTGCAGTTTGCATTATACATATGTCATACTGTACCATTAACTTCCTTTTTGTTGTTATTTGACTTTATTTATTTATTTATTTTTGCAGTTTTTGGTGAGGACTGGGTTTGAACCCACCACCTCCGGCATATGGGGCCAGTGCCTTCCTCCTTTGAGCCGCAGGCACCACCCTGTTTGACTTTACTTTTAAAAGTTATTTTCTCAGTGGTTGCTATAGGGTTGTCCAAAGTAGCATAGGCTACATGCTGATTTTGTAAGGACTTTGCTTATCTGTGGTGTTGGGTATTACAAAAAAGTATTCATGGGCCGTTTTGCTAATAAGCTTATGTTAGTGTCTGTGTATTTAATGTGTGGGCCTAGAGAACTCTTGTTCTTCCAATGTGTGACAGAGGCAGAAAAATGGTGGGACATCCTGGACCATATAAATCCTAACATAAAAAATTTAGTTAAGATAAATACCAACTTACTTCTAATAGTTCACAAAAACTTTGCTTCAACATAGCTCCCTTCCTTCCCTCATCTTTTATGCTGTTTTATTACACATAATCTTATATGGCATCAGCCCACTAATACAATTTTGTAGTTATTTTATGTTGTCATCTTTTTCAGTTAGGAGATAAAAAGAGTTGAAATATATCTTTACTTTTATATCTATCTTTATGATTATCCTTGCCAGGGGTTTAATTTCTTCATATGGATCAGTTACCATCTAGTGTCCTTTCATTGCAGACTGAAAAAAATTCCTTTAGTATTGTTATAAGTTGGTAGGTCTGCTGGTGATGAATTCTCTGTTTTTGTTTATCTGGGAATGCCTTTTCTTTTTTTTTTTTCTTATTGGTTGATAATTCTTATCTTTTAGTTCTTTTGGTGTTATACCATACCATAGTCCACTCACCTCCATGGTTTCTGGTAAAAAGTCAGCTGTAAATTTTATTTATAATTCCCTGCATGTCTTCATATAGTCCTCCCTGTCTTTATGAACATCTATGTCTTAATTTCTTCTTATAAGAACATCAGCCATGTTGGATGAGGGTCCACGCAACGATCTCATTTTTAACTTAATTGACTTTTAAATTACTTTATCTTCAAATATAGTCACATTCTGAGATACTGGGAATTAGAAGTTCAACATATGAATTTGAGGTGGTGGTGGAGATATAATCATCTCAAAACTCCTTGATTTCTCTCTTTGTTGTTGTTGACATCTGAACATTTATGATAAATATTTTAACAGCTCTGGTATTCAAACTCCCCTACCCTCCAATTTTGTTATTACTATTATTTTTTTTTCCTTTTTAAAATTGTTGTTGCTCATTTGTTCAGTGACTTACATGAACTAATTCTGTATGTTATGCACTTTCTACAGTGTGAATCACCTGATTTATCTGATTATGGCTTGTAATTTTGTGCCTGGCTCTTAGAGGTCAGCCCTAGGCCTATATATTTTAGTAATCAGCAAAATAATTTCCTTAAATGCTTTGAGACAGTTAAGTCTTCCATCCTTTGCCACATGGATCTGTGTGAAGGCACACCTTCAAACTGTGGGGAGTTTATGCAAGTCAGCTTCCACTTTCATTTACTGCTTGTATAGGTCTCTACATAAACCAGAGGTAAGTGACTGGAGTCTTTTCCTTTCCTAGGTAATTTGTGGACATGCTCACTACCATTCTGTGTCTTCTAGATCCCAAGAAATATCAGAACTTTTCAAAGTTCACTGTGATAATCTAGGTTTCCTGGCACTTCTTTTTAATTTGTTGCTAGGGTCTTATTTGGTTCAATTGGTATGACAGCTTAAGCTAGCTGTGGTGATGTTATCAGAAGATTGTTACTATTTTTTGTAATGCCTTAGAGACAGGACCTTACAGAGTTGAGCTATGATTCAAATTTAGTAGCAACAATGTCTTAGGAATGGAGTTTTTCAGGTAGCTGCTAGTTGACAGTGCTCTATATGTGGAACTTTATTTATTTATTTTTTTTTTTCAGTATTTTCCATTTATAAACTTTTGGGCGAAGTCATTCTTTTTTAAGTTTTTTATTCTTTCTTATTAAATCATAACTGTGTACATTAATGTATTTATGGGGTACAATGTGCTGATTTTATATAAAATTTGAAATACAACAAACTGGTTAACATAGCCTTCACTGTACTTTCTTAATTGTGTTAAGACATTTATACTCTACACTTAGTATATTTGACATGTATCCTTGTAAAATGCATCATATCTGTGGTCCCACCAATTGCCCTCCCTCCACTTATCCTCCTTCCTCCCCTCCCCTCCCTCTCCTCTTCTCCCTTCATCTTGGGCTGTAGTTGGGTTATAGCTTTCATATGGATGTGTGGGTGATTATATATTGATTTAATAGTAGAGATGAATAAATTGGATACTTTTTCTTCCATTCTTGGGATACTTTACTAATAAAAATATGTCCCAGCTCCATCTATGTAAACATAAAAGAGGTAAAGTCTCCATCATTTTTCAAGGTTGCATAATATTCCACGGTGTACATATAGCACAATTTATTAATCCATTCATGGGTTAATGGGCATTTGGGCTTCTTCCATGACTTAGCAATTATGAATTGGGCTACAATAAACATTATGGTGCAAATATCTTAGTTATAAAGTGATTTTTGGTCTTCTGGATATATACCTAGTAGAGGAATTGCAAGATCAAATGGCAGGTCTATTTTTAGATCCCTAAGTGATCTCCAAACTTCTTTCCAAAAGGAACTATTAACTTGCATTCCCACCAGCAGCGCAGAAGTGTTCCTTTTTCTCCACATCCACACCACCATCTATAGATTTGGGATTTTGTTATGCAGGCTACTCTTACTAGAGTTAGATGATATCTCAAAGTGGTTTTGATTTGCATTTCTCTGATGATTAAAGATGATGAGCATTTTTTCATGTGTCTGTCCATCATGCACCTGTCTTCTTCAGAGAAGTTTCTATTCAAGAAGCCCACAATGAAATTGGATCACTTGTT